AAGCTCTGAATCCGTTATAATACATATAGAGCTAATATAAAGCAAAACAAAAAATTCGTGTCACATGCACTTTAATGATAATTCAGACATCGTTCGCGTCTATTGTTTCAAGACGTTTTGACACGTCTAGACCACAAAACATTCGTATCTTCTCAAGGTCCAACATAGGTTTTTCAATCGCGCACCCAGCACTATTTTTAGTTCAATCCCGCCATCTCATACCGCATCCCGCCGTCAATTTTAAAACTATCTCATCCTGCTCACCCCCATTGTCAAAATCAGCTTCCTACGCAGACACTCTTTGGGCTGGTCACGCAATGAAGATTGCGTGACGAGCGCAAAGAGCGTCTGTATGATATGAGCCAATCTCTCTCCCTCCAAAGTACTTTTATCCCGCCCACCATTTGAACCCCATTCCGCACCCCGATGCACGAGACGATGGTTTAAAAGTATGTGGCTCAATCATTAAGCTTGCAAGCAAAGCCGGTTGTGAAATGTAACTAAATTAGTTAGGGGCTTATAAATTATAATGCACTTAATTTTTTATTCTCAATTTTTGAATGTTAAGGAAACAAGACACGAGGATGAGTTCTGAGGTGAGTCCTGTTATGTTTAATTTTCCTACACAGACATTATGAATTTCACGATGATTTGAATTCCAACCTTAACGCAGTAAATTTCGCATAGAAACTGAAGAAATTTATCCCATGTATTTAAAGTGCCACTATGATCAAATTCTCCATACCCATTTTTTTAAATTTTCGCACACAATAGGTCTTTCCTAGATTTTTTTGCCAAATTTCAATCTATTACGAGCATTAGAACTRATGTCGTTTGGACCTTTATTTCCGAGAATTTACGGCCGCCATTAATTTTCCTTGTTCCAAGTCTCTGTTGAGAATTTGAGAAAATGACGTCATTTTCTCAAAAATACCACACGGGTTGAAATTATAATAACAATTAGCACAGCAATTCGCATAAAGAATAACAAAAACTTTGGCTCATATATTCGTGCAATTTTTTTACATAAATTGTCATCATAATTTCAACCCGTGCGGTATTTTTGAGAAAATGACGTCATTTTCTCAAATTTTCAACCAAGACTTGGAACAAGGAAAATTAATGGCGGCCGTAAATTCTCGGAAATTAAGGTCCAAAAACCACGAGTTTTAATGTTCGTAGAAAATTGAAATTTGGCAAGATATCCAGGAAAGACCTGATGTGTACGAAAATGTAAAGAAATGGATATCGTGAATTTCATCATAGTGGCACTTTAAGTGAAATTCTCCAAAGTTTTGAGCGACGACCGCGGGATAGAGCGATAGTACGTGACGTCGCGGCAGCCATATTTGTGTTCTAAAACAATGAAACGGCGGCCATGTTTGTGTACCAAACCAAACCTGTGATAGTTGAACTCTTTTCTTATGTAAACACTTCCTTTTGTTCAATAAATATGCATGTTGTCGGCCACGTGACCATTCTAGTCCCCAGAGGCCGCTCTCCTCTTGGTCAGCGGCCAAGAGGAGTACGGCCTCTGGGGAGAGACAATATGGGATAAGTGACATTGGGTTGCTGTGATTTCAAGGTCTCGAAAGTAATCATACTTATCGCTTTTTTGCTTCAAGGATATCGTCGAGGACGAAGTCCTTCGCAAGGCTCAACGTGGTTTACTATTCGGTAAACCAAAGTTTGGAATTTTTGTGACGGCCTTCTACAAGGAAAGCCTAAAATTAGACGACCCCTCAGTGCACAGTGGAATTCTGGAAGCAGTCTGTGACGTCATCAAGTTCGCGCTAGAATTGGAGAAAGCCGAAGGAATCGGTTAGGAATTCTGTTTGTGCTAAGGGTTGTTTCATTAAGAATGCTCTGATCACAAGGTTCTAGCTCGAGGTAGGCGCGAGGAAATCCGCGGGGAAGGAGGTGAAGCGTGAAAGACGGTAGAGAACATTTTCGGTTCCAGGAAAATCGTTGGTCACGGGGAAATGGAATTGGTCCCCTGTGTCTTGCAATAGTTTCCTTTTCATATCGCAGTTCCACACGGCGTTATAAAACGCATATTTAGCGCCTTTTCAGTTTTTTGAAGGCTTGCAGAGTTTTAAGGCTAATTTGCAAGAACTTGATACTAAATAACTAAGTTCTGCGTATTTTAAAGAACGCTAACAAGGGCGGTTAATTTTCCGCATTTTAATTTGGAATTGAACGCTGGCGTTACAGATTTAGCTTGAGCCAGTTTTGTGACCAATAGGCACACTGAACAGATCTAGACAATTGCGAATTTGGAAGATAAAATATACATTCATTTTTTATTAGGCGTTTTCCTCGGGGTCGCGGTCGCCGGCGTTATTTTTGCTTGAGCCCCTATTGACAACGCACCAATAACTCATACATGTGTGTGTTATTACAGGCTCGCGCACCAGAGCAATCGTCGCATTTAACCCAGACCAGTGGAGCAAGTGGTACAAAGATGATCCAAAACTGGCAAATCTTGACCTTCGAGATCCAGGAAGACGCCTAATTCCTGACTCTCAGAAGTTTCTGGACACTGGTGGAGATGTGTTCTTCTTACTCAAATCGGACGTACAGGGTGAACTGGAGAAAGTTCTTACTCACCTTCAGGATAAAATGAAAAATTATTGCAGGGAGCTTGATGTGACAAGATCCCAGCCCCCTAGTAAGGTAAGGGAATGATTCACTAGGGAAGGTGTTGGCTGTCGTTAGCTCAGTAGTGAAAACTACTCGTTCATTTAGTATTTACATAAAAATGTAAACGTTTGCTCTCTCTTGCATCGCTGACATTAATCACGTTGGCGTTTGATGACAAAAAGCTCACTTCATTCTGTGAGCATTCAAAACCGTTCAGTTTAAGCAAGTGAACTCTCGATTCATAGCTACATTTAAAAGTAGTCAACCCTCTTTTCAACCGTTTGCATTACCTCTCTATTCGGGAGATTTGAACGTACTTTAGAGAGGCCCTGCTCTTACCAGCTACTTGCCTTTACGAAGACGTATCGCATTTTTGAATGCGTCCCTTTATGGGTTGGCTCGATTACCAGCCGCTGTTCGGGAAAGGGGCCCGCACACCGGACTCCAGAGGGCGGCGGGAAATAAAGGGAAATTATGGGATGTAAGATGTTACCTTATTACCAGAGGTTACAGATATAGGTATTTGTAAGCAACCTGAATCATGACTCCAATTTTCGGATCTGGGAATGTTACGATGCACCCCGACGTTTCGACATGTTTCATGCTTTCTCTTTACTTATCTCTCTCAGCGGATCCTCCAAAATTCCTTTACGGATGGAGTGGCAAATCCTGGTGATGCGGCAAGTATCAAGAGTTACATTGTAAAGAATGAAGGGGCTACGTCAGGTTACCCTGGCTCAACATACCTGCTGTCGCAGAAGTTCGAGTTCAACTGGATGGTCCTTGGAAACATGGACAAGGTACAGTGACGTTTTTTTCTCTCTTCCTTTACCACTTTTTAAAGTAATATATCGAACACCTCTCCCCGGGAGGCGGGAGGGCTCCTTATAATGGCCTTTACGAGGAGGCTCCACCCAAAAGAAGCACCTTTTTCAGGCTTCATGCAGGTATATAAAAGGGTGGGGATTTCACAAGTTGAAGTATATGAAAGGATAGGGAAATCTGTCATTTAGAACATTTCAAATAGACGCACCTTGGCTGTATCATATCATTTTTAAATTATCATATCATTTTTAGATTTAAATTAAAATTTATTAAACACTATATGGAAATGACAAGAAGATTTCCTTTTTAAGCGATTTATTCAAATTCATAAAGCACGTGAAAGGGGAACCTAGAACCTTTTTCCAATTAAAGGTATAGGAAAGTGGTACCTTTCCCGTCAAAATTATATACAAAATGGTAAGGCGTTGGACTTGGGGACGGAGCCTTCCCTTGTAAAACTTTGAAGAGTACCCCCCGTGGCGAACACCCCACCCGACTCCTGATATAGCAAACACGAAAGACTGTGTTTTACTACATTTTAAAACACCGAGAAGGGAGTTAAAGGACGCGCAGTGAAGTAACGTTTTAGACGAACTTTATGGTATTTAGAAATGTGGTTAACACTGTTTCGAATGTGTGCTCTCGATTTGAAGCCAAAACTAAGGAGATAATGGAGAAACAAACTTGGTACGATCTACGCTAATTAAATCAATTTGTCCGATGCAAATTTAAACTTCTCAAAAACGTAAAATTTACCATTACAGATCCAAAAAGAAGATATGATTGGAAGAAAATCTGCCACGGACACTTTCATTCCTCACAAAGACAAGCGTGCCCACATCGCCCGTGTGCATGTGGTGCCGGAAGTTCCACCAGTGAACGGTCTCCTCAGGCATCCCCGCGTATTCCGTGTTTCAATGCCATACGGTCACATAGAGAACCAACCAGGTCGAGAGGAGGGACTTATGTACATGCACATGTGTAACACCACAGAGGTGTTCAAGACGATTCTGAAGAACATCGCTGGAAGTGACAAAGAGTCTAAGCTAGGTGAGGTAACCCCCGATACCTTGATCAGTGTTGAAGAAATGAAAGCCAACATGGGCGAAACCGAAAAGCAGAAAGAATTTGTCCGTTCCTGTATTCTAGCTGTGGAAGGAGTTCAGAAGTACATCAAGAACTTCGGTTACCTGGCGGGTTACTGTGCACAGAAAAGCGACTTTGCACTCTCTGAAGCGCAGCGGTCAAACTTGAAGAAGGTAAGACTTGAGGAGCTCAAAAAGGTCAGCACTACAACGTTACTGATTACTTTGCATATCCAGGTTGTTTTAACATTTAAAGTAGCTTCGTCGTTTTCTATTCTTAAAAAATTTGGCCTAGTTTCCTCAGATTCTTCGTTTGTAATGCGTGATCAATCTTTTCCATCTTTTTTCATCCTTGCTCCTCAATGGTTTATTGTTATCTCCTTGGTGTTTGACTATCTTGATAAACTAATGTTTTAAAGTTTCCTTCAATTTAAAAGTATTTTTTTTACGTTTCCAAAATACGTAACTCAAAATACCGTGGCCGAGCTCCTTTAAATTGTAATGTTTCTGTCCGCAACGGCAGATTGAAGCTAGAATGAACAAGATCTCTACTGATCGTCCAGAGACGTTCATTGAAGCTGTTCAATTGCTGTTCTCGTTCCACTGCTGCCTGCACCTGTCAGGGGAACCCACGTCTATCGGGCGACTTGATCAGCTCCTGGAGCCATTCCTCAAGGGGACCCCTACTGAGGAGGCCCAGGAAATCATTGACTGCCTCTTTGTCAAGCTGTGTGAACACGTGCATCTCAACTCGCGGCTTTTGAATGATCTGGGTGCTTGGGGAATGACCGCTGTGGTGTATTGCAGCACGGGAATGTTTCCTAATGGTGATACTATCAACCAGTGGGTTCAGCAGGTGAGGATAATTCGAGTTTGCTTATATACGAGGGGTAGGCTACCATTATGGAACCAACTCTCTTGCGCGCACGTTAATATATTTTTGTCCAGATTTTCAAAAAACACTGATTTTAATTGATATACTTGGTTAATGTAAGAAAGCTTGAGGCCCCTAACTGGTCCGAAACAAAATTTTTGCCACTAGATGTGAAGGTTTTTTTCAAAAAGACAAATTTTAGAAAACTTTGCAATCAGCCTTTGATGATGCGTTGTCTTCATAGTTTGTTTGAAAGATACGTAGTTCACCTCTGGCCCTCTCTCAACCTCGATCCCAAGTTCTCACTCATTTGCCTCCCTTGTCGTTGAGAAAAAAGATTATTTTTCTTTCTCTTCAATGACAAGGAAGGCAAAGAAGAGAGAGTCTGGCCCTCGAGTTTAGCCCTCTCTCATACAAACGCTTCACGTCATCAAAGATATAGGCGGAAATATATAGACGTCCGAAAAGCAAGACGGTGCTAATGTTTTGGGGAAATATTGGTAATGAACTTGTCATAAATGCGTTTGTTTCTGTTCAGATCACTGTGGGCGGATACAAGGCAAACGATGCAGAGGTTCCACAAGATGCCTGCAACGCCATCACTATCATGTGCTTGAAGGCCTCACGCAGGCTTCCGCTTAATGCTCCATGTTTGTCCCTGCGAATGCATAAGAATATGCCCCAAGAGGTAAACTTAACTAATACTTGTTAACTAAAGAAAGACTTAGGAATCTAGAAGTTCGCCAGCCTTAATGTACCCTGAGCTGACAATTTTTGTCTAGTTACTGATCTGAAAGCTTGGTTTCTTATTTTCTTGTGTCACAGTGTGTAATTTAAATTTGTAATCTTCCAGTAAGCACTTAATAACCGGCTCCAAGACTCTCAATGTTTCCCAACGCGAAGTTTTGTTATACCTCCCAACTCAAAAATGGAAAAAATCTGCGAAGAAATCGTTTGCTTGACGTCGGCTGSCTCACAAATTTGCCGCGGTTTCAAGGAGCACGACCTGATCACGTGCGAGTCGAAAGTTTAAGTTTTGTTTCCCTGGGGAGTTAGTGAGTTTTGTTCGCCCTAGGGAGTAAGTGAATTTTGACCCACGACATGTGACACGTTCTCCTCCAATCGGAAAACGTATTTGAGTTGAGAAGTATAACAATGACGTTTAATGACCTAAACCTTTCCCTTTAGAGGCGGTATTATTTTATCGTCTCAGTTTAAAGTAAGATAATGTTTTGTTATACTCTTCCAAAAATAGAAAGAAAATGTTCGATGGGACTGTGTACATAAATTTTCCGCCGTAAATATAAAGCTAAGGCACTCAACTTGATCAAAAACCATTTGATTCTATACAGGTTCTTCAGGAGGCCGCTAAGACTGTTCTCAGCGGAGGGGCCCATCCGGTCCTTCCCCATGATGACCACCTTGTACAGGGCATTACTGAAGCCGGAACGCCGGACCTCCCAGTGAGTCTGAAAACCGCGCGAAACTACGCCTGTGACGGGTGCTATGAACCTATCATTCCCGGCGAGACAGACTTCTCATTGGCTTATGTGGCTCTGTTGCAAGTGCTTGAGATGTCAATCAACCATGGGTCTACATTTTCTCTCGCTGGGGCTGGATTCTTGGAGGGGGTCCCGCAGTCTCTGCCTACACCTCATCCTGAGGAAATCGTCAGCTTTGAACAGGTATTGGTTAATGTCCTCGCTGACCATCTTTAGTGATATTAGTCTAAGTATATTTTGCCTAAAATCAAACTGATTGGAATACAATCTTGTCTCCGTAAAATTTCTAAATATTAGGGTAAATTTTCAGAAAATTATTTTGTATTCATAAAGGTGTACTCTTAATTTCTTGATAACAAGTTAAAAGTTGCTAACCAACGTATTGGTAAAATATCACCGTTCAGTCTTTTCTGTTACGGAGTTATCGAGCTGGATCCGTTCTGTCAGAACTTATAGGAAATGAATGATAATCCGAGAATGTTCATTTTGTCGACATTCAAAAAACAATTGGCAAACCTAGAGGTTATGTTTCGGTAAAAACTATACCATCAAAATACCATATACCATGTACCATCAAAACCCTATAAGACCAATATTCTTACAGCATGTCCATTTTGTTGGTTGACATCATGTACAAACCTAACAGCTGCCAAACTATAGAACGTCTCTCGTCAAATATATGTTCATAATGTCGATCGAAGGGATATAGCGAGAACTATTGACTAACTCAACCCACAACATTTAGCAATTATTGGGAATATGTTCTAATCCTCAGTAAGATAAAAGATGGCGACTGGTATATTTACCATGCACGATTCATAGGGCACGAAAATTTGAAAAACGCTCATAAAACCACGCAGAAATGTTCTACCATCTTCAAACCTAGCGTACACAATGTCTATAGCACAGAGAAAAATATTGCAAGAATATGACTAGTAAAATACACAGCCGCCATCGTTTTTTCTACGGAGAATCGCATCCAGTCTCACTACTTCGAGGCGTGGGCTTATCAACAGGCCACTTTCGACATATTAAAATTCAGCTTGACAGTGAGGCCTGGAGGACATAAACAAAAGAAATTGAATAAACATGGTCATTCAATTTCCTTTGTTTGTGTCCTCTAAGCCTCACTACCAAGCTAAATTTTAATCTATCGAAAACAGTCTATTGCATCATCTGTTGTGTTACCTCTCTTTTTTCCTTTCACAGCTCAAAGAGCTCTTTGCTCTTCATCTCCGTGTGCGGACAGAATACAGTATTTTCCTTCTGCTCCTCAACTATGGCAACATTGTCGAGTATTGCCCCAGTCCTCTGCTCTCTTCCCTCATCCGTGGCTGCCTGGAAACTAAGCGGGATATTTATGACGGCGGTGCCAACTACACTTTGATTGGTGTCCAGTTCATCTCGTTCGCCAACACCGTGGACGCTCTGTACGCCATCAAACGGCTTTGTTTTGATCACGACTCGGCCATTATTTCCTTGGCCGAGCTTGTCCGCTGTCTCAAGTGTGACTGGGGATACAACATGCAAGAGCCCTTCCATGACGAAATCGCAGGAACCACGCGTGGTCAGCGGCTGTCTGACACGTACAAGGAAGTACGCGAAAGGGCGCTGAGCCTGCCGAAGTTTGGAACTAGCGCAGGTGCAGAAAACAAAGACATTCAAAATATCACCAGGTTAGTTGAATCAGGAGTTAACCCAGACGAGACAGTTGTCAGAATTTACTTTTTTATGACCTTTGATTTTATTACCCAACTGGGCTATTTAGTATTCCCTTTGGTTAAATTATCACTCTTGGTGGTCATATGCACTTTCCTATACTTTCCCAGTTAACGTTCCTCTTCTCATCAAAAGGTATAAATGGGTTATTGACCGAGTGTGAGGTCAAGATGGCTGGATATTGGTCAAGTTCTTTTTTTGCCTGCTCATGGACCGAGACGGAGTCGGTCCATAAACTCGCAAAAAAGGAACAAGGCCAATATCAAGCCATCTTGACCGAACAAGCTTGGTCAATAAAGGATTTATTATATGGCTTTCGTGGAAATTCTTTTTGCAGGACACGGCGGGTAGTCCCGAGCGGGCAAGACAGCACCATCTTCCCCGCTCGGGTAGCCAATCACAGCGCAGGATTTGATTCATCTTGCCCGCTCACGGAGCTGGTCATATAATAATACCAGTTATTAGTGAATTTTTAGGGAATTACCTGGTGGTACGGTTAAGAGTAACCTGCGATGAGCATCCCACCTTAGAAGAGTGGGAAAAGGTTTCGTTGCTTCATTCTGCAGAAATTTTTGATGACTAATTGATCTGGCTCGTCGCTGAGATTCTCCTTTTCCACCGATTGGAACATAAATACGTTTTCTTTATAGTCAATTCATTGAGTGAACTTCCCATTGTGAGGTAGCGTCGCCCAGTGGTTAGTTCGCCGGACTTGAAATACGGAGGTCGCGGGTCTAGTCTTGCTTTGACCACTAAGATGGAGTTGTTTCTCGGTAGACCTTAGTTCAACTCAGTTCAACTCCTCGGTCATGTTTGTAAAGAGCCAACTGGTCTCTCTCCAGCCAGTTGGAATTTCTAAGCCTATTATGTTTAGTTGATATATTTGTTTCTTTCAGTTTAAGTGGCATGCCTACGAGCTAGGCACTATAAACAACATCATTTAAAAACATTTTTGCAAACGCGTCTTTCTTGCAGTTGGTTAGCTGAGCAAGTTTCAACGGTCACCAAGAAAGTGGTCCGCGATGCTCCAGATGGACAACCGCTGAAGGGACTGATTGACGGCTTGAAGAAGAAGTACTCGGTTCCCGGAGCACCATGGGACGTGCTTCTGCCTGCAGGATCCGGGACATTTGAAGGATACGTTGGTTGGGGAGGAGGATGCGCGGCATCCGCTGATGGTCGACGCGCATGCTCACCAATTGCTTCTGACTTCGGAGCCGCTCCAACTCCATTGGATAAACCTGCCACACCTCAGAGCTTCGATATCTACAAGTACGTATAGGAAGAACGTCCCTGCAGTGGAATCCCCTCAATTCACTGGAGAACCCCCTCCCCCCCCCCCAAATATAGAAGGTTCTTCAAAATGTGGTGCTTTAATGCTGAATTTGAATCCACGTGATATGTTTCATGGTTGAGTCACTTGATTGCGTTTTCATTCGTACTTAGGTCTCTTAAAAACTGGGATATGCGCTCGATCAACGTTGGCTTCTCCAACGGTGCGGAGCTTGGTTTGAAGATTGACGAAAACTTCAAAGAAAGTGACATGGTGACATTTTTGAAGAATTATGCTGACCACAACGGCGTTGGAGGGAATATCTTGACAAGTAAGTTGTGAGGCACTGGTCAATACTGCACTGAAAGGCCTTGCTAGGAAAAAAGTTCTTAGCCTACTTGAATTTAGAAAGCTGACTTTTTGAGAGAGAACTCGTCGTTAGTGCCTCATCAGACCAAGATTAACATTGCTAACCCTAAAACGCTAAGGTGATTAATTACCCTATAAAAAAAACTTTATAGAAACGTTTCTTCAAAAAAATGTATTGTTTTGTTCAAAAGCTACCTGAAAGTTCCTTGGTGGTTATAGTTTATTGACGTAGACACTTGTTCTTATACTTTAAAGCTGTACAACTATTTTCTTTATGGTATTTGTCCATTTTTAGTTTACCGTTTTGTTTATTTCCAAAACTTACTTACCTCTTCATTACCACCCGCAACGGAGCTTACGCTCATCCTCTAAACTTCTTTTCACTGTCCCTACTGTGAACTCTGTGACATACGGTCAACGTGCCTTCTCTTTCTCCGCACCTATATTATGGAACAGTCTACCGGATTCTGTTAAAAATACAACATCTCTTTCGTCTTTTAAATCTGCCCTCAAAAAATTCTTGTTTCGGAAATCCGACTTCTGATTTATTTTATTTTATGAGAAACTGTATTTTAATTAATTATTTCATTTATTTTATTTACTGTTATTAGAAATATTTTATAGGATTAAACTAATTTATCTTTTATAGTAATGTAAGCGCATTGAGTTTTTTTAAATGCGCCCAAAAAACTTTTGTTATTATTATTATTATTAACTTAATTCGCATTTGAAAGTAAATGAAAAATGAAGGGTGAGAAATATATCACTACAAATTACAAAAATTTTACTATCTGCCACCCAATCTCCGATGAGTGAAACTAAATCAAAAACACTCTTGTTGAAATTATCATATATCTATTTTGTTTATTTTTTCTAAACCAGTCACCTGCGCCAACCCTGACACCCTTGCTAAAGCTCAGCGGAATCCCGAGCAGTATGATCTCATCCGAGTACGCACAGGGGGCTGGAGCGAGTTTTACATTGCTTTCTTCACCGCCCATCAGAAACATCAGGAGAGGAGAATTTACTACCACACCACATGAAGTACAGAACTCTCGGTTCTTAGGTTCATGGGTTGCGTCAGACTATAGTTCACGTCGATGAGAAATGTATTCTGTGTGATGCAAAAGACAAAATAAACACAGTCACAATCTACTGTGTTCTCCAGCTATTTTTTTATATCCCAGGGGTATAGGCCTCGGGGGAAGGGGTAGAATTCTCGAGAATTGATGGCTGCAGTGTGATGCCTTATTCTAAGAAATATTCGCGATACCGGCGGACCTGTTAAGGGCTTTCTGAATACGGGATACTTAGATGGATATTTAGCTAAAAAATTAAGGAATATTTAGAACCCTATATCCCGCGATATCGAGTGGCAAAATTGTTGATTTTGAAACTGGAATTAACGGAATACGAGATGACTTAGGCTCAATTACCAGCCGCTGTTCGGGAAAGGAGCCCGCGCTCCTCTCCTGAAGCTCCTCCCTTCTCAAGGAGTAAAAGATCCCGGACTCGAGAGATTGAGCCTAGGGATATGAGGGCCAAACAATAGTTATGGAATACTCGGACCCCCTAAGAGACAGACCATTATTTTTTGTGTGGAGGGAGGGGGGGGGGG